CCCCTTAATTTTACTACCTTCTTCATATTTCTAATCAATGTTTAACCATTAATTTGGCTTTATTTCTTTTAAGTTTCTTCTTTCTATAGTCTGGATCCTAAGTTGGAAACTAATTGGTGTCAGCATTATCTAACTTGTCCAAAGCATTTAGGAGTATCTATCATAAATTAAATTTGACAAAACTACATAAAAGTGCTTAATGACTAATACTTAACTTTGTTGAGACACATGTCATTTTTTAAATCAATAAACTTATCTACAACAAATAATCCCAGTGGCCATTGATGGAATTCATCTTATAGTAAACATGGCCCCACGTCACTTCATCAACAAGTATTTTTAAGGTGTAAACTTCTTCTTCTATCTAGTGAATTTTCCTTACCAGTCTTGCTTTTCTAACCACTGTGCGAGGTATTGTCTGATTTCCATGGGAAAACTGTCATCATAAAGCTGGTGAACCTGCTCCAGGAATTTTGAGTCAAGCTGCTGAAGTTCATACCACTGAGACATCCTATAAAGAAAAAGAATATACATTCTTTCCACGTATATGGAAACCACAGCTTCAAAGAAAGCCTTCTTGGCATCAGGTTGTACTCTTAAATATCTTGCTTAATCCAAAACATAGTTTGTCCCAGAAATATTTTATTTAAATGGCATTTATAGTCTAAAGCCTCTTTTTAATTGACTTTGGGGATCAACTTTTTTTCTCCTCCACGAAACACATCTTCAGGTCTTTGCTTGTTGTCCACATATCAGGGCAGCCTTCTCTGGCTGTATTCCTTTCTTGAGCAGTGGGGTGGTGACAACAAGCCAACAATCCAATGTTATGGATTGTTCTAGAAGAGCCCATTCCTATACGGATGCCAGAGGACACAGTATGCGTCCCGTGTGCATTTAAGAGAGTCAATTAAACCTCTTTTCTTAATTAAACCTCCTTATTTAAACTGCAACCACCTCCCGCCCTGGAAACATGCATGCCTTTCTCTTCCCTGGTTTATTTTTCTTCATAGTACTTACACGACCATCTGACCTACCACATTTTTTATTTTGATTGTTGTCTGGTTTCCCCACCTGAAGGGATGGATGTTGGTGGAGGATTTTGTGCACTGGTGTATCCCCAGAACAATGTCAACCACATAGTAGGTATTCAATAAACACGCCTTTAAAATGAATTTGTGATTTTATCAAATAAACACATGAAAAACATTATTTTAATTAGACTTGCTTTAAGACAAATCACATGACTCTCCCAAAATGCTCTCCTACAAATCACAGTACATTTGTAATTTAACTCAAATATTTTTAAACGGCTATATTTATGATTCATATGGTAAAATTCATTATTTTTGTTATACACATTTAGAAAGATATATTTTCCTCTTTGCCTACTACAAACAATAAATCTGGCATAAAGAAGTAATGATTTTTAAATATTAAAACAACATCATTAAATGTCAATTAAAAGGTAAAGTAACATTTATCTCTTTGGAAAACTGTTAAGTCCATTTTTATACAGTTTTCCTAAAGATTAAAAATCACAACAAAAACTTGATATAAGGAAGTCCTAAAATCCATTAGGAAAACGGAAAGTTTTCCATGACCATCAAGTAACTTAGGATTTACATCAGCACACAGCTGGCGATAGGCAGAGTGGACACAAGGGAATCTTGTCCTGCCAGACCTCTGGGGAAGGGGTCTGGATTTTCAAGTAGGGCATGGAAGAGTATCTATGCATTCTTGTAGCCAAGTACATGTATGAAGGCATGAAGTCACGCCTAGTCCAAAAATGTCCTTCCAAAGGAGCATGAGGAAATGTCTGGACTATAAAGCTAGTTATCATCATATATACCAGTAGAAATGGACCCAAGCCCAGCCCCTTGACACTCCTGCTGTAGCAATTTGATTTTTTTCAGTTCAATTTTATTTTACCTGAGTGGAAAAATCTGTGGCTCTCTCCCTTCCTGCTTGGTAACTAATAAGGATGTGCCTAAAGCAGATATGCTGGACTGTCAGCCAATGGGAGCTGCAACGTCTCTTATTAGCCAAGTGAACCCAGGTAACTTACTCCCCTATCAACAAGGTGGTTGTGTGTGTGTGTGTGTGTGTGTGTGTGTGTGTGTGTGTGTGTAGTAGATAGGAACTTGCTCTGTCATCCAGGCTGGAGCGCAGTGGCACGATTATAGTTCAGTGCAGCCTCCAACCCCTGGACTAGAGCAATCCTCCCACCTCAGCCTCCCAGTGAGCTCAGACTGCAAGTGATATGGTTTGGTTCTACATCCCCACCCAAATCTCACCTCGAATTGTAATATAATTCCCACGTGTTAAGGGCGGGACCAGTGGAGGTAACTGAATCATGGGGGCAGTTTCCCCAATGCTCTTCTCGTGATAATGAGTGAGCCTCATGACATCTGATGGTTTTACAAGCATCTGGCATTTCCCCTGCTTGCATCCACTCTCTCCTGCTGCCCTGTGAAGAGATGCCTTCTGCCATGCAGAACTGTGAGTCAATTAAACCTCTTTTCTTTACAAATTACCTAGTCTCAGGCAGTTCTTTATAGCAGCATGAGAACAGACTAATACAATAAACATGAGCCAAGATGCCTGGCTAATTTTTAAATTTTCTGCAGACAGCCTCTTGTTATGTTTCTGAGGCTGGTCTCAAACACCTGACCTCAGGCAATTCTTCCACCTCAGCCTCCCAAAGTGCTGGGATTACAGGCGTGAGCTTCCACACCCTGCTGCAGTTGGTTGTTAAGGCTGGATGAGCTAGTACATATGTAGCACCTGGCACAGAAGAGGTGAATTAATAAGCTCATGTTTGGGTGGGCGAGGTGGCTCACGCCTGTAATCCTAGCACTTTGGGAGGCCAAGGTGGGCGGATTGCCTGAGCTCAGGAGTTCAAGACCAGCCTGGGCAACATGGTGAAACCTTGTCTCTAGTAAAATACAAAAAAAATTAGCCGGGCATGGTGGTGTGCACCTGTAGTCCCAGCTACTGGGGAGGCTGAAGCAGGGGAACTGCTTGAACCCAGGAGGTGAAGGGTGCAGTGAGCCGAGATCGCGCCACTGTACTTCAGCCTGGGCGACAGAGCAAGACTCCGTCTCTAAATAAATAAATAAATAAATAAGCTCATGTTCACAAATCTGGAGTCAGTCTCATCTTCTCACAGAACCTGTTACCAACTCACAAAACCTGTTACCAACTCAGAGAGTGGCATGGCCATCTCCCAATCACCTAGCTCAAATCCCAGATTTAGAGTTGATTGTTTCCACTCCATCCCAAGACCTGCTGCCTTCCTGTCTCCAACATTCTACCTTCCCAATCCAGCCTCTGCTGCACACAGATTGGACCACATCAATCTCCTGTGCAAAAATCCTATGATTTGTCCATTCCTAGGCGGATTTCCAACCCACCCCATCTTCATCCATCAACAAAGCAAACCAGTCACCACATCATTTACTGTTTTTCAACGGTGCCCAACACTTCTGCTTTGCTCCAGCTACTCGCCCTTGGAACAGCCTCTCCACGAATTTTTGCATCTCTAAATCCTACAGCATTCAACGCTATGTACAAAAGTCCCTTCTTTCATTAAGTTGTCTGAGACTCACAATTAAGCTTTCTTTGACTCGTGTCTCACTGAATTCTGTACCTCTAATTAGAGCATCAGTTCCAGTTTTCCTTGTAAAGTTCTGTGATGCCTCCAGAGACCCTGCAGCGGAAGGTGGGTGAGGTGTGGTGGGGGTGGAGTAGTGGGGGTATTTTCCTTTTTAACATCTTACGGACCTTGGACAGTGAGCTGCCTACACTATGGGCTCAAAACAGTTTGTTGAATTCAAATTGTGTATATTTCAGATGGAATTAGAAACTAAAAAGCAAACCATATTATGATCTCACAAGTGTGAGTCCAGCATCCTCATTTAGCAATGGTTGCACAATGGACTGTGCTGGAGGCTCAAGTCCTATTTCTGTTCTATGAAAACAACTCCCTATCTATACAAACAACATTCAAAGCACAATCAACCACACCTCTGCATACCTACCCCAGAACTCTTCAGAAAATTTTTTTTAAGAGTAATTATATTATTTTGGGGGTGGGGGGTCTGCAAAAACTAAACATCACTTTTAAACTCTAGGAAGACATTAAGCCCTTCCATCTTTAAACATAGAAACATAATTAAGATTCCGAAGCCATGTACTCATTCATGTGATCCCATGAACATTTACTGACCTGCCACCTTGTGCCCCAACAAGGGCGTGGGGATTCAACCAAAGGAGCAGCTACACACAGCACGTTAGGTGCCAAGACTGTCGAGGTTGCATGCACAGAGTGCGAATGTTAACCCAGACAGCTCTCGAGGATGGCATACAGCAAATGAAACTTTCTGCGAAAAGAAGAAAATGTGACTGATGGAAAGGGGGGTGGAAACGGGAGAAAGTGAGGGTAAATGGGAAGGTGCAGTGCCTTCTAGAGGAAAATTCCATTTCACAAGTCCTCTTTACTGCCAGAGCACGACTGGCAAGGGCAATCGTGCTGAGCAGTGCCGTCTCCGAGAACAGGGGGCACTCCTCGCACTTGGAATACTCGGGACACGTTCTTTGGGTCACGGATTCGCGGGTCAGCACAGACGGCCCGTCCTCGCCCGGCGTCCAACTGCACGGCCAGAGGACTCCGTCCCGGCGCGTCCCACCCCCAGCACCCGGAACCTCACGGCCACTCACTCTGCGCGCAGGATCCGGAAGGGCTAGGCGTGGGGAGCGGCGGTGCAGCCTCTCCCGGGCGTGCCGGGCCGCCTCTGCTCGGTTTGGGGTCTGCCAGGCGCGGTCCCCCGGTGCAGCCAAGCCCCTCCGCAGACTCTGCGCTGGAAAGCGAAACTACCCGGCAGAAGAAAAAGCAGTGCCGGCGCCCGGCCCCCTTCCACCCCCACCAATCACCGGGCGGCTCCGCGCTCAGCCAATTAGACTCGGCTGTTCCGCGGGCGCCACCGCCTCCCTCTGCGGGGCGCTGCTTCCTCGCGCGCTGGGTGTTTCCTCCGGCTTCGGGCCGGGCCGCTAGGGCGGTGACCTGCAGCCCGGTTCCGTGTTGACACGCTAGGTACTGGAGTTCTGTTTACATACCTTAGAGAACGACCAAAAGGTAACACATCCTCCTTGCTTCTTCCTGCCTCTTTGGCATTCTTTCTACATTGTCTCCACCTCCACTGTCAAACCATTATATGTTAAGGTAGTCAGGGTCCAGACATTCCTCAGCTTCTTTACCTGGACTTCTCCTAAAGGCTGTGCTGTGATGACCTCACCCACAGCTTCAATTTCTTTCTAGATGGAGGGGTCCTAAATGCTTATCCTGTCCACATCTCTCCTCTGAGCTTCACACCCACAACTCCCACTTGCGAGAACACTTGTATGTGCAGTGAGCTCTACAAACTATGTTCAGAACCAAACTCATCTTTCTCCTGAAACATGCTCTTTTTCTAGAAATGGCACATGTCAGATACCTAGGATTCATCTTTGACATTGCCTTCTCCCTCACCTCTCAACACCTGATCCTCAAACCTTATTATTCTTCCTCCTAAATATTTCTCAAGTCTCATTTACTCTGCTCCATTTCTTCTTTCTGCCGCCTCCCTTTTCTCTCTTTCCCATTACTGCAGTAGATTCCCGAATGGCTGCCTCACTTCAGCCCTTAGCTCCCTTTTAATCCATTCTCCATACAAGAGTTTGAGTGGTTTTTTTTGTTTTGTTTTTGTTTTTAACTGAAAAGCAGATCATGTCATTTGCCAACCTGAAAAATCCTTCCATGGCTTTTCTTTGCTCTTATAAAATTGAGTTTCTTAATACATACTATAAAACCCTGGTTTCTCTATCTCTTTCTCCAACCCCATAATATGCCACTCTGCTTTGCTTACTTCACCATTTAGTTCTGCAAATAACCCAAACTCCCCAAACTCAGGGACTTCTCACTAGCAACTATTTGGAAAACCCCTTGAGCCAACATCTGCTTCACCCAACTCTTTGCTGGCTAACTCATCTTTTAGATCTTAGTTTAAAATCTCAGCTCAAATGTCACTTCTCCAGGTAGGCACTAATGAAGCCAGACAAACTAAATCTTCTTGGACTACATGCTCATAAAATCAATTGGTTCCTTCAAGTAGACGGGATTTGAGTCAAGCCTTGAATAATTAGGCACTTTGGGGTAGGAGAAGGATCTGAATAATTTCCCATGGATATACCTATATGTGTGTGTGTGTGAGTTGTTTTTTTTTTTTTTTTCTTTGCACATCTATTTGTTCTTCTTGTCACAAATGCACCCTCACAAAGCAAGTTAGCAGTGAAAACAGCCGTCTCTGCAAAGAGATGCCAGGGCACCAAAAAGGTCCCTTCTGCTCTTACCCAAGGACCAACACAATGTTTTACTGTTCTCTGAAAAAAGCTGTATTAATCCGTTTTTAACACTGTTAATAAAGACCTGAGACTGGGCAATTTACAAAATAAAGAGGTTTAATGGACTTACAGTTCCACATGGCTGGGGAGGCCTCACAATCGGCAGAAGGCAAGGAGGAACAAGTCGCATCTTTCATGGATGGCGGCAGGCAGAGAGAGAGCTTGTGCAGGGAAGCTCCCATTTTAAAAATGATCAGCTCCGTGAGACTCATTCACTATCACAAAAAGAGCGCAGTAAAGTCTCGCCCCTATAATTTAATCACCTCCCACCAGTTTCCTCCCATGACAGGTGGGAATTGTGGGAGTTACCATTCAAGATGAGATTTGGCTGGGGACACAGCCAAACCATATCAAAAGCTGACTCTAGGAACGGTAGATTACATGTTAAAAATATTTTTTTCTGGTACTATAAAACTTGCACAGATACTAGCTTCAATATTCATGAAGGAATTAAATAATTCTAATATCTGCAAATAGGATTATTTGGCACTCCAAATCCCAATTTGGATCATCAAGATCTATGGATGCTTCCTTCCTTACTCCCCTTTGTTTTAGCATCCATGACAATATCCTACCATAGGCCTTCATCACTTGAGAATTGGAATGCTATGCTAATCTCTAGGTATACTACCTTTTTCTAGTCTCTTTCTCCTTCACTATATTTGCCAAATTAAATTCCTTAAAATACTGCATTGATGTAGTCATTCCCTGCTCAAAAGCCTTAACAACTCTCCTTGCACGTATGATCAACACAAATGTTGTCTGCTAGTCTGGATCCTCCACAAAATGTCTCTTTCCTTCTTTCCAGCCTTTTCTGTCATTGTCCCATTTCCCAACTAACCTCGCCTACCTCCAACACTCCCCCCATGCTTTTAATTTCCTGATTTCTGCCCCTTTGTACATACTGAATGGCAAGTCTTGCCCCTTACTCTCTTCACTTACCAAATTCTTATCCACCTGTTAAAGCCCAGCCCAAATACTGTATTCTCTTTCTAGAACCACCTCAACCTATAGCAATTAATCTGGGGTCTCTGAATGACCTAATAATATATGTGTCTATTTATTTGGACAATAACTATACACTTCCTAATATTATGGTTTTTGAAGTGGCCAATCCTTATGTCTCCAAGATTCAGTGTTCCTAAAGGATAAACTATATTTTCTTACTGTATAACATATTGACTGCTCCAAAAAGCAATCAAACCAAAGCCAAACAAAAACCTAGAAATCCATAATTTGACAGATACAAATGTGTGATGGTTGCCTTGTAACAGTCAGCTTGGAAAGCTGTGTCTCTATATCAACAATGTCAAATTTGCAAAAGACACAAAACTAGAAAAAACAGCTAACACTATGTCTGTAGACTGCATTATTTTCAAATCTCTTCTGTCCCTTCCCACCCCTTGCCATGGTTCACTAAGGGTAGAGTATACCTCTCTGTGTGCTGTAACTTGACCTTGGCCATGTGACTTGTTCCAAAGGAATATGGACAGTTGTGATGTATAGACCATCTGACCTGAAACTGCATGTTCTTTGTAATCAACTTGTTCTTGTGTGCTCCTTCCCTCTGCTAAGAGACAGCATGCCTCAGGTACCCACGCTAAATCAAAATTCTCAATTATCTAAATATTCCAAAGGACTGCTGCTGGTCTGAAACCAACTGGATACTACGTATGTATGTATGTATGTATGTATGTATGTATGTATGTATTGATGACACAGTCTCGCTCTGTCGGCCAGGCTGGAGTGCATTGGTGCAGTCTCGACTCACTGCAACCACCGCCTCCTGAGTTCAAGTGATTCTCGTTCCTCAGCCTCCCGAGTAGCTGGGATTACAGGCCTGCGTCACCAAGCCCGGCTAATTTTTTGTATTTTTAGTAGAGTCAGGGTTTTGCCATGTTGGCCAGACTGGTCTTACACTCCTGGCATCGGGTGATCTGTCTGCCTCGACCTCCCAAAGTGCTGGGATTACAGGTGTGAACCAATGTGCCTGGCCTCAATTGGATAACACTTTTTTTTTTTTTTTGAGACCAGGTCTCACTCTGTTGCCCAGGCTGGAGTGCAGTGGCACGATCTTGGCTCACTGCAACCTCCCACTCCTGGGTTCAAACGATTCTCCTGCCTCAGCCTCCGGTCAACTGGATAACATTTAAAACAATAAATGCAACTACTTGTATTGGATTTAAAAGAGCAACAAATGACAGGGTATACTTCGTCACCAGCAATCAATCAGAAGCAACAGGTAAGGTGAAATTTACTATTTTTCATCTCTGAACTGGTGTACAGACAAAGGAGAGTCAAGGACAGTGAGGAATCCAGAAACTACATCATATGATCAGTAACTGAAGTGAAGTCACCAGAGTAACTCATAAATTCACATGATGTTACAGTAGAAAGACTTAAGAACTACTCCATACTTCCCATTTGGAGGAACTCTATTTTGCTTGGAGAAAGGACAGTATCATTCCTAGTCTTCACTCACCTTTTCTTTTACACCCAAATCATTCAGTTGTATTTACTTAGTTACATCTGCTTGTTGCACAAAGCATTTAAAGCAACATATAGCAGAAATATCTACAATAACTAGTGCAGCCTGCAAACCAAGGCAAAAAGATATCAGTTATATAGTTCTCATTACATGAAATTGAAATTAAGAAGGCTCTCCTGATAAATTATTTTCAATAATGTCCACATTATTCCCTGTTCTATTATTTCTCCACCCTGCCGCAGACGTGACATTGTGACATTTGGAGTCTAGGCCTCAAGAGGCCCTATACACTCTGCTCTCAGAACCCTGCCCAGCCTCCATGAGAAGTCCGGCTAGCCTGCAGGAGCATGAGAGACCACACAGACCACAGCTGAATCACAGCAGTTGTTCAAGTTTAGACCTCAGATTTATGAGAGAACCCAGGCAAGATAAAGTGGGGGCCTGACCCAGGTGAACTGAACTCCCCAGCATATCCTAGACTCACAAGCACTGATAAATGATGTTTTACCAAAGTTCTGGGAATAGTTTGGTCTGTTATGTAGCAATAGATCACTCATAAAGAATTTATGAAATGAAACAAAACATCCTACAACTGAATTCTAAAACAACTAAGTAAGCGGAACTTAATTAAGTGGAACAGGTCCATTGCCCTTCCCAACCATGGGAATTTCTCCTGGAGTCACTCATCCTCAAGGAATGCTTTATCTTTGTCCTTACCACATTCCTATAAAAAAAAACTTACTGGCTCTGTGCGTTCTTTATAGCCTTGATCTATTTCAAAATGATAGCTACAAATCTGATGAACCAATCTATAGTAATATGTTTTTACTTTCCCTCTCCTTCCAGCTACCATTTTGTATTTCAGCCATATGTCCCCAATGTTTACAATAATATTATAAGCTAAATATCTGATAGTAGGAATTTCTAAAAATTCCAGTCAATGCCTCTTCACCTTTCCTCCTTTATGTCAGGCTTGCTATTATACTGTGAATGTCAGTTCATCAGTGTAAACTGTATTTGTTCATCTGTAATATAATAGAATTGAAATAAAAGATTTCTATCATTTCTTGTAGTTCTCTGGATTTGGGTTTTGTACAGTCACTTACCTGTCTTGGTGTGTGTATCTTCTTCCCAGTTAATAAGTACAAGAGGCCTCCTAGACAGCAGCTGCTTAAAATGCAGGGAAGCATATCATGGTTTGAACAAAACTGCACTATGTACATGACATATTTCATCCCAATATGAAGGAAAGCTATGAATACTTTTAGGAAAATGGCCATATGCAAGCAAGCTGTGTTCTTTACATGAAGGAAAAATAACACATCGACCAGAATTCTATTGATGATTATCACAATCATTTTTTAGAAGTTTTTATAATATTCTTGAACTTACAGAAATCTGCTATAAGGAAGTGATCAGATATATATGAAAGCTTTATGCAGAATGATGTTCATAGCAGCTTCACTTATAATAGTGAAAAATCAGAAACCGAATTTTCCAACTGACAGTTAAAGCACAATTCATATAGTAGAATATCAAAGTTAGGCTTTCAAAGACTATTTAATTTCACATTGGAAAATATCCACGTATAAAATTAAATGAAAATGATGGAAAGAAAACATAGACAGCATTATCCTATTATTGTAATAATATATAGAAATGTAAATAAATGGAAACAGAAAGAGGGAAAAAGGAAAAATATTCTAAAATGCTAATGTTTCTGGGTAGTATATTACGTCTATATAATTTATTTTTAATGTTTACCATGACCACTATCACATTCGTGTTCAAAAACCGCTCAGAAATGCTTTGGAGCCCTAGCTTTCCGAACGCAGGGAGAGCAGCCTAGGCCTGCCCAGGCCCTTGGCTTTGCGCTGTGCAGTTTGAATCGCTTCGGAAACAGCTGGCCCGGCGCGCGCGGCGGGAGGGACGCGACTGCTGGGAAGAGCCGCCCCACGTGCTTTCGGGGAAACTGCCGGGGAGCGAGAAGGAGTGGGATTGAGAAGAAACCGAAAAGCGAAAGTCAGAGCCTGCGGGAGCAGTACGCAGGCGCAGCGGGGCTTTCCGGCATCCGGCTTCCTCCCGGCGGTTTCCGCCGGGCGGGGGACCCCCTGCTTGCACGCTAGCCCTGGGACTGGAGATCGGCTTGCTGGAGGGGGTCCCAGAGAGGCCGGTCCACGCGGCCTCGCACGCGCGAGTGTTAGCCCTGCACACGACGGAAGGCGGAGGCGCGGATGGCTGCCATTTCACCTTAAAGGGAGGGAGGGAAACGTGTCCTGATTTCTGCACCTGAGGTGCTGGAAACCTTACCCTTCCACTTCCACCATTTCTTTCCTTGTGCTGAAAAAGGTCTCTTTCACCTGCTTCACTTCGCTATCTACACAGTTTGCAATTGCACTAAGATCTTGTTCTGTCTGGTAAGCTCTGACCCTCAGCCTGCCTGGTTGCCTGTCGTAGAACCAGAGGTTGGGGGCTGTCAGTAGGTCTGCGCCTATATAGGTCTGCGAGGGGCTTGCCTCTGTCTTCTGGGGTCTTCTCGCCCCCGTGCCTTCTCGGTTATGGTGATTATACCAGCAGGAATGTGGGAGAAGTATAATGGGGAATGCTTAGTCACTGGACAATGATTTCGAAAGTTTGGCTGGCCCAGGAAACACAGTTTTGTGTAATGTCTTGTTACTTACTCATTGGTTCTAGGAGGCACGAGACTGGGTTTCTTTGGGCTCTGCTCGCCTACTCTTAAGGGGCTCTGCCATCTTAGGGTGAACTCGGCACCCACCTAGAACCCCCAGTGTGTGAAAGGGCCTACCTCATTGGGCCCTAACCTCCAGCCTCTTGTGAGAGTGAGGACCAGCTCCCGCAATGGCTGCACACAAACAAGACCCTAAGGTACAGAGTCCTGCTATGCAAACAGACTTTTATTTTCCCCTGTTAGAACAACGCAGGACCAACTATGTAATTTGCAGGGAGGGCCCGTTGCTAAATGAAAATGTGGGGTCCCTTACTCAAAACGAATGAAGAATTTCAAGAAGGCAGCAGGAGAGCATGAAGCCAAATATGGAGCCCCTTCTGAGTGCCTGCCCTGTGGAAGCCAGACCTAGGTGGGGAATTTGGGGGCATTTCTTGTATAGGAACCTTGTTCGATGCTCACTTAAATGAAGAAACAAATTTTATAACACCACTCACCTGTTTAAAAGCCTCTGCTGGCTTCCGGTTGCATTTGCAATAAAATCCAGGATCCTTAGCTTTCCCTATAGGGCCCGCCAATTTGGGCTCACCTGCCCCTCTTACTCATCTTATCTCACTCTCCCCATATTTCACTAGACTCCCCTCCATCCCCTTGGCCTCTTTCTGTGCCTCAGATACCCCAGGTTTTTACCTACCTGAGTCCTATGCATACATACACTGGTCTTTTAGGATGCTGTTTTCCTGGCAGTGTTAATGGACTGCCTCCTTCACATTCTCTAGGTCTCAGCTCAGTCATCATCTCCTCAAAGACACCCTCATTGATTGCTTCTTCCAGTGACTATATCACACTTGCAATCCTCATAACACTTGCTAAACCTGTCCATGTTTATTATCTGTCTGTTTTCATCTCTCCTCACCAGCGTATAAGTTCACAACAGGAGGGACTTTGTTCTGCGTTACTGCGTTTTCCATCCAGGATTCCATGAGACAATGCAGTCTAATCCCCCAGGGTATCTATGTGTGTAATGAATACCCTGCTCTCCTGTATATCTAGAATGTCACTGTATGCCATCCCTGGGAGAACTGAGAAAATCGTCAAGCAAATCACTTTCTGTGTCTTGTGGTTCAGAAACTCTGGTTAAGCAAAGCAATGCCTGATACAGGCATTTTCAAATATTTCAAAAATATGTTTTGAATGAATGAATAAATGAATGTCACTGACCAACACTGGGATCAGGAATCACAGGTTAATTCAGCTGTTCAGATCTCAGCACTGGCTCTAAGACCTGTCGAGCCACAATTGAAGGGGGAAGAGAATAATGAGCATGCATAGCCCAAAAAACTTCCCTAAAGGATTTTTATTGAGAACTCTACTCCACACCCCTTCCAACCTCTCCCCTCTCCCTGCCCTCTCTGGACGGCAGAGTTCTTTCCGTCTGCAGCAGTCTGTGAGACGTCTAAGAGGATGACTGTGGAGCCTAACATAAGAGTATTGTGGAGGACTTTTACTAGGGGCAGAAGTAGTAATGCCCTTGAGTGTAATGGAGAGTTCAGGGGAAATTGCAGGAACACTTGGTTCATCTGTGACTAGGTAGATGTCTAGGATGTTAGACGTGCATGAGATAATAACTAGAATCAAAGGGAAGTTAGAGCAAGCTGATAAACAGTATAATTCTAGACAATGTCTATTGGAAGTTCAGGGTGAGGTAGAGAGGATGTCCTCTCTGTGTGATCAAAAGCAAATGTGTTTTGGTTAATCAGGATGAAGCATAACATTGGGAGCTGTTTCATGATCTTAGAGTTTGGAGCTGTTATGAAGAGAATTCCAGTTTAGTTTTGCAGGCAGCCCAAGGAGCAAAGGAAAGGAAGGAACTAATGACCATTCTTGATGTGTTCAAACACCAAATCGTTAATAAATATTTATTCAGGGCCAGATTGTGCTAGATTCCAGGAATATGACTGTGAGCAGGGCTGTCTTGGTCCCTGTACATAGAGAGCTTGCTTGGAGTCTGTTGAGGAAAATAGATGATATCATTTACACCAAAGGTCATAAGCACTGCGCTGGGGATGTAGAGGATGCTATGGAGGAAGCTGGCATGATCTGAGCCATGTGCACACGTGTGTGTATGTGTGTGTGTGTGTATGTGTGTGTGTTTGGCAGGAAGGCTTTCCAGAGCCTGAAGAATGTGGGAACATCATCCAGGTGCAGGGGTATATGGGATGGGTTTGGAGAATTGAGAGAATGTGGCAGGGGAAGCAGAGAGAACATGGGCCATCAAAGAAGCTGAAAGTAGTTCAGTCAGTCTTGTGTGCAGATGTTTTGGTGGATAAGAAGCTGTTGGGGAGGAGTGATGAGAGATGAGTTGAAGACTAAAAGGGGACTAAATAATACGTGCCTTTGGAAAGATCTGTTGAGAATTGTGGTCTTTGTCCAAAGCTGGGATTCTTATCTAGTTTTTGTGCCATGGACCTCTTTGGCAGTCTGATGAAACCTGTAAGTTTTTCAAAACATAATGTTTTTAGTTGAATAAGATGCATAAGATTCAAAAGAAAACCAATTACATTGAAATACTGATATCAAGCCGACTTTGTGATATATTAAAACCAACTTTGTGATATAGTAATATAAATGATTCTTTTTTTCTCTTTTTGAGACAGAGTCTCACTCTGTCACCCAGGCTGTAGTGAAGTGGCATGAGCACAGTTGGCTGCAGCCAAGACCTCCTGCGTGATCCTCCCACCTCAGCCTCCGAAGTAGCTGGGACCACAGGTGCATACCACCACACCTGGCTAATTAAAAAAATAAAATAAAATAAATATATATATAGTACAGATGGGGTCTCCCTCTGTTTCCTGGACTGGTCTTAAGCCCTGAGGCTCAAGTGATCCTCCCACCTCAGCCTCCTAAAGTGTTGGAATTATAGGTGTGAGCCACTGCACCTGACCATGTGCTTATTTACTGATGACATTAAATAATAGGATTTAGCAGTGGGTCCAATTAATGCAATTTCAAAATTGTGCTTTGCATAAATGATATTTTGAGATGACTTTAATAATTATGATATAAATATAGTATGGGTTATGGTTTGCTGCCCATATAATTGAAGGAAATCAACTGTAGTTAGAAGTTAGTAGAAATAAAACTGTAACTTTTGCCATCTAAATTCATGAGCCCTTTGAATTCTGTCCGTACACCCCAGACAAGAACTGCTAATGCAGAGCATCATGAGCCATTCAGAACTTTTTAGGGAGTGAAATTATCCAATTTAAGTAGAGCCCTCTGTCTACATATGAAGCTGCATGAAATTGTTTCTTATATTTACTGTAAGGAAAGAGAGAATGTCCTTCCCCATGTTTTTGTGGCATCCTCTTTGTGAGTGCTCTGGT